ATGCAAATTTAATTTACGCTTACAGTCTTATGTACACTTCCACAAATATTACCCTGCGTATGCAAATCTTTGTGACGTCATTCTACCTTCATAGAAGAAGAATGAAATGGCGTTTGTTCTCGTTCTCCGCTTGATGAACGAGTGTGTGTGTGGTTTGCTCTCCTGTATTGGCGCGTTCACATTGATCAACAAGAAGACAGCAAGTTTTTGAGTAAATGTTTAGTGAATGGTAAGTTTCCTACCAATCAAAAGTTGCCCATGCTGAGCAAGCAGTGAAGAGAGATAAACAGTGTTTCATTCAAGTGCTAATGCTAATTCCAGATTACCATATCAAACACCAGCATGCCCATGCTAGAAACCTACATGACTATGATGACAATATGACCATTCTTATTTCAAAGTTCACTACCACAGACCATAACCGTTAGCTATCTGCCGTGTCCTGCTATTTTTATTTATTTATTTTTAATCAAAAGGTATTACATCTAACATCCAGCCAGCCTTACCAATCCAACACAGCATTAATAAAACATCACCTTGTAAATAAAACATGAATCGCTGCTTATTTCACAACAAAGTGGTGTGTTTAGCTCAAGATACAAGCTCTTGAGCTCTCTCCCCTCAGCACACATCCTCAACAGACTCCCAGAGTGTTTAACAAGCCGTGGATCTGAAGGTTCACACAACCACTGAAATCATCTGAACATGAGCTCCCTGGTCCAATGTAAACACACAGCTGTCCTATTAGCAAAGTCATGCTTTATAATTTATCAAATCAAAAATATTAAAAGTGTGGAAATGGCTTTTAAGTCTGTTAGCATCAGAAAATCCCTCATTACTTAGTAGTTTGTATTGAGTCTTATCTGTTCCCTCAGGTTTGTACTCTATTAATATGGTTTTTGGATGATGAGTCAAAAATTGTTATATCAAAGGTGAGAAATCGCACAGGAAAATCCGAAGCCAATACACACCATTACAGACAAAATACTAGAATACTAGCATGCTACTCTTTTGCTACTAATTCTGCCATATGGAATAGCATACTATTATATAGTAGAATATAGCATATACTAGCATATAAAGCATATTAGCATACTACTCGTACTATTTCTGCCATATGGAATAGTATACTAGCATTATATAACATATGTATACTGGAATATGTTACATAGCATGCAACTCTAACTATTTCTACTATATGGAATAGCATAGAATATATAGCATAACATAACATAGCATATGTATTACCATATATAGCATACAAGCACGCTAATCTTATTTCTGCCATATGGAATAGCATGCTACCATATATAGCATACTAGCATAATTCATACTAGAATGCTACTGCCACATGGAATAACATAGGCTACTAGCATAATATCATGGAATTACATAGTATCCAAAAGTAATAATTACAGATCATTTGACCGCTTTTTGATTCTAATTACAAATTTCTGCTCTATACCTTCAAAGATTTGATAGCCTACTACTAGTCTTTTTAAAATCCAGACTCCCATTAATGGCGTAACGGCATCCAATCAGATTGTACCTGGCAATTTCAGGCAGTTCTTGCATTTTTTGTTGGCAATAAATCAGACCTTCAGTGAACAGACTGTGGGCGGTCTGTGGGTGTTCTGTCTGAGTCTTATAACCAGGGCAGGACTTAGGGGGGCGGGGGCCCCTGGGCTTGAGGTTATGTTTGGGCCCTATACCTACACTACAAATGCCCTCAAATAGAACACCATTATGGAGTAAAACAAAATACACAAACATATGCTTGAAATGAAATAAGCTACTTTTTTTAAATATGAAACTACAACCGCCAGTAGGTAGCAACAAGTGACTGTCTTAATGAGTGAGCTGAAT